CAACCCTTCGGTTCATCCGCTAAGGGTCGGAAGGTGGTGTGGGGTTAGACCGCCGAAGGGGCGGCCGTCGAGGGCGGCGGTCGACGGACTGCACGGACGGGGGTTTGCGACGTGAAGGGTGAGGCACATTAATATTGCGAAATGAAGCTCATTTGCATTTAAATAAGGTACTCGGCAGGGACGGGCGAGGCGGAGGGGCACTAATTACACTAACTACACAAAGAGCTCTCGCCTGGCCGCTGTCCGGCCGCCCCCCGAGCTTCCCTTCAGCTCGTTCGTCCCCATAGCGGGTGCCCTCCACGGCCGCGCTCTTATTATGCCGTCCGTCCACCCCCGGCCCTGCCGTTACCGTCGCCATCGTCGTAGTTGGTGTTGCCACCCCTTGCCCCTGCCCGCGCGACCCTTCCTGCTTGATTATCATTATACACCAGAATAGATTATGCGCCCTCTCGCGCTAATATATTATAGTTACGCAAAAGTTCTGAACGGGCCGGTGCGGTGGTGGTGGCAACGGTGGAACGACCGTCAACTGCGACGACCTAAATAGATGATTGTGGGGGGATTCGCGTGCACTAGACACTTGGGATATCTTTGGGGGCACGTGTGGATATTCACGGAGATGGATTCAAAACCCACACTGATATTGTTTTGGTGATATCCATTATAAACTGAACGTTTTAAGATTTGATCGTACATTTCTTTGTACCCCAAAATCATTGCATAAATTTATGTTATGCAGAAATTGCATAAGAATGCGCAGTATGAATGTATCTCCACATCCCTATTATTTAGGTAAGAGAGTTGAACATTTTTGAGTGAAATCAAAAATGCATATCAATAGACTTAACGAATTCTTTAAAATAACGCGATAGCAAGTAGCTCAATGAAAGATTGAATGCAGTGCATTTTGTCCAGTAACACTTCGAAATCCGTTCACGCCGTTCCATGCGACCAATCGAAAAAGATTTCCACAAATCCCCCTCGAATTCTGCAGTGCATCGCCAGAATATAAATTTTACATAAATAGCCACCATTTTCTTTTTCACTACCACAATCAAGCCCCCCAAAGTGATGTCCCCGACATAATCAAAAAGTAGACAAAGTTGAAAAATAGCTTCACAATAGTCCCGAATTGTCATAACCCACATATTAACCCCATGGTCGTGAGAATACCATCATTTTAGGATGCGGTTCCACTGTGGTTCATTAATATCGAAATGCCGTTCGATTCGGAACAGATTGTTACCTCTGACGAAACAAAGTACACCTAAGTGGTGAGTTTATTAGACCACGAATAATGGGACAAACTGTCCGATGCCACTTCGTAACTGATCGAACAACAAAAACTAAAACACTTTGTGTGCACAGTTTTATGTGTTACGTCTGCAAAAATAATGAGATGATGTCTGAGATTTTAACACGCAGTAAGCAACTTCGTTATCGCGACATATCGGCACCTTAACACAAAATCTTGGTGTTCGTAGGAATTATGGTTTCGTTTTAGCTGATGTTTCGAACCCCACAATTGGTGTACATTTTTTGGATCATTATTGGAATTTTAGTGCAGTTTTAAGAACTTAGACATTCCTCATCTGGAGGATAATTTAAAGTCAGTAAAAGTCTAAGGAAGACAATCGACATCATTAGACCATTGAGAAGACATTGGTAAAGTATCACAAAGTAAAGATCCACATAACTCCCGGACTGTTAATGGCTGGAAGATTCCATCAAGTGAAACCCTAGTGATACAACGCTTCCATAAAGGAGTTGGAGTATTTGTTTTGGATAGTGATAGCTTGGCCTTCCAAAACTAATTGCTCAATTGCTACACCTTTACATCCCTGGACCATTTTAGTCCAGCCAGCAACATTTGCGATCTATTCTACAAACTCATTCGAATCTATGTTCTCTTATCTATCCTTGTACAGCAGAGCTTTTAGCACTTAGTCTTCGTACATAGTCGTCAATATACATAGTTTTTCCATCGTTTCGTTATGCTTTAGTGTCGATGTGAAACGTCAGAAATAGCTCTGTAGTGATATCTTGGTATCTATTGCGTCAACGTTCCAGGAAGTCGTTGCTTCAATGTTGCTTGATTCATCCATTGATTTCGTGTATTCAGGGCACGGTCTAACGCTACTCTTGTTATTACTGAAATTTTTGTCCCATTCTGTTAGCAAAAAGATTCAATAGAGTCTTTTCCGCAAGTGGTTATTAGAATATCTTTGGGTATCACAAGGTTTCACATTGTGTGTTTACTGGTTAAAGTTATAACATTTTCAGAAAATTAGCATGAAACCGATTAAAATCATATCGAAAATTGTTACAAAATTTTAAATTTGTCAGAATATAAAAACTTCTATGTGAAATAGAAAAACAGAATAGACGGATAACCATCTAAAAAAGTCAGACAAAGTTTCTCAAAAAAGTTTTTCTTGATGATAAAATGGATAAGGTTAGAGACTGGACGATAATTAATTTGGTGTTGATTGGCTGGATTATCAATGGGCTTTGTTTTAAATTAGAGGAAACATAGGCAATAGAAGAGTACCAAGTAAATGTTTGATATCTTGCTCATAAGATCAAGTCGAAAAGTTCTCAACTTCGTAATTAACTTGAAGATTCGGGACGCCATTAATGAAAACTCTTCCATAAAAAAACTAGAACAAAAATTTATGAATACCTTAAAGGGCTGATCTTTTTTTGTGCTTCGGGCATGATCAAAGCAATTATGATAATCTAACTCAATAAATTCTTTGTCTCCTATAATGATGATAAACTGCTCATTGTAAAATTTTTGTTTTTTAACAACTTTAATGAAACTTTAATGTATTCCATGATACACAACTTAACATAAAGATAAGCAACCCATCTAAGTATATGTTCAAAATTTAAGTCAATTGTGAATATGATTTCTTCAAATCTTGCAATGTTTACTTCAGATATAAGTGACAAAAAACCGGAAATTTCAATTGCAGATTTCTAAAATTACTATTTCTTGAAATATTCTGAGAACACCCAACATAATTTTCTTTCCAAACACATTTTACTGATCACCTCGCGATTGATTATGTGGATGTGGTCTATTATTTTCATTAGCATACTAATTACACACGCTATTACATAAATAATGTTTTTCTTAAACATATGTGACCTCTGCAGTTTTGTTATCGCGTTTACACACATATTTATTTTTATATTTTGATTCGTAGAAGCTGTCATCTTCTTACATCTTACGTATATTTATAATACACTAGAAAACTTGTTATGTATATTTTCAATTTCTTGGTAATATAAGAGTAATGAATAAATATAAATGAAACAAAGATGCTGAAACTTTTTTTATGTAAATTTTTATCAAACCACATCAATTATAAAAAAAAATAGATAGATAAACTAAAATTATTGAATGTAGGATACATTTTTTAACATTGAAGTATACCCTCTACATTCTATATTTATGGAAATAACTTGTGAAAATGTTATATATTACATTCGAATCGCAAACTTATTTCCTTTTCAATACTATATTGATGTTTTAAATAATGTTCGTGGAATCTGAAATTTCGTTCGCCGAAGGATTTTAAACTTTCAATATATCATATTGATCAATTCTAGCAATCTTTTCTAGTACCTTTTATTTATATTAAATGTCACATTGAAATCATTAAACATCTCCAATTGAAATTCTTTTTGTGTGAATTATAGTCGAGTGCCATCAGGTGTTGTCTTAAATTTAATTTGTTTCGGTTTTGCCTAAGTAGATGAAGCATTCCCGTTTGTAGATACTTCTTAGTTTTATCTTTAGTATTAAATAAATTTAAAGTTTGGGTGATAATGAGAATTAATTAAAATAGTAGTTTTGAATTGCACTTATCGTATAAGAATTCGATATTCATACATATTAAAACTAAGTTATACATTAAAAGAAATACAAAGCCAATCCATCCGGATATACCACATTCTTGTAATGATCAAGCATTTTCCGCATTCCCAACTGAAGGATTGGCTACCACGCCTGATTGTCTATATAGTAATTATGAATGTTTCTTAATTAGTAACCACCTTGAGCATTGTAAATTCATAATTGTATCATGCCGAAGTACATTAACGCGTAAATTGATTGAATAAAATGGATATGAAATAATTATGAAATCGCGTTATTTTTTAGTGTTGGCCCTTTATATAGATAATAATTAAAGTTCAATTAATAATAATTTGGTTGAATTTTTAACGCCTTCGAGTTGCAAAACGTCTTGATCGCTGTTGATTAAATTTCAATTGCTCGGCCCGAATTACCCTCATTAAAGTTTAACAACTTGGCAAACATTTGGACTAGATTTTTAGATTATTTCAAGTCGACTTGACCCAACCGTTAAAAGTGTCGCCGCGCTGAAGCGGGATTCACGTCATCACAAGAGGGGCGTCGGTCGAAATAACAATGAAATCGCGAAAACGGCGGCGACGTCCATTTGGATTCCGCCATTGGCGGTCCGTCTATATTTATGATTAATGACCCGCTTTTGAGCGGGACATTAACATGCGCGCGATTTAATGAAGCAATATAATTTCGAATGCAATAAACTTTAGAAGAACTAATTAAAGGCGGTTATTGCTTCCATTCGAGAGAGGCCAATACAGGAACGTATTCTTCTGATTTTTTCCACATTAACATTTAACCCATCAAATTATCACAAAAAGTTGCTGTAGTCGATTAAAAATCAGATTACCTTCGAAGATTACTTTTAACCATTACATTATATTTCGAAGTAGCTCTCACTCATCTTGTGGTTTAACGCCCCCTCGGTTAATGTATTCGAAGCCGGTCCTGTGGAGGCGGCAGTGCGAGTGTAATAATTGTTCTCGGAACCGAATTAATGCATATGAGTCAGAGTGCGCGCGCTAAGTTTCGATGGACGTCGAGGCGGCAGCACTCCGGCTACTTCATTACCAGTCAGTCGGTCGCGTTTTTCTGAACGAGCGACATCTCTTGTTCACAGGAGAGTGACCGTGAGAGCAGCTGTGGTTCCCCGGACCCGGCCACTACGATGGGAGTTGACGAAGCAACCGACCTACACCTGGCACAGAAGCTCCTTCACGGACGCGCCGAAGAACCAATACAAAACGAACGAAAGATGAGTCCACCGGTAGCTACACCAACTACTCATCTAAATGGAGCTAGTAAGTTGACAATAACAATTTAAAACTTTGTATGATCTTCAATGCATAATGGTTTGTATAAAATGGTTATGTTACTTGCTTATCTACATACATTACAGTAAATTATAGAAGATGACAATTTATGATATACAATTTATTTATGGTATGTTGTACGGAAGATTAATCAGTCATAATGAAAATAACATACTATGAATACAGTCCGATGAATATATCTAAAAATAAGAAACCTAAAAAACTGTCATTAGATTCTCGATGGATCTTTAAAATATAATTTAACAACGATGACATTTTAACAATGAACGAATGATGTTTTATTAAGTACATAACCTTTTACGACAATTTATTATCTGACTATTTTATAAATATTGGCATTTAAATCATTGAGTAATCATTATAGGAATAATTTAAGTACAATGTCCAGTAATAGATGGTAAAGTGCGCTCATTAACCGAGCGGATACATCAATAATGTAAGCGTAATAGGTATTTAAATGACTTCGAACTTGAATAAATATATTTAACCGCTATTTCATTGGAGATAATAGACAAAATATAAATGGGTTAATGATCCTGTAAAGTATTTATCTTTGTGATAAAGAATTAAAGATATCAAACGTATAAATGTAGTTATTAGTGGGGCAATTTTTGCGATTTAGTGAATGATCGATAAAGCGTTGGCCATAAAGCTCTCAATTAGTATGTAATCTCTCAAATTAAAGTGCAATAATTAATGTTTGTTATTTTTGTCAATGAATTAGTACTTAATTAATAAATAAGGTAATTTAAATTTGAAATTCATTTTCTAAACAGAATTTTTGTTTATGTTTATCTTAAATTAGCCAATTATTAGAACAATTAATCACTTTTGTGTATTACTGAATGTCACAACTTAATTCGTTATTTTGGTTAATGAGTTGATAAAAGTTAATAAAAGTTTAATGAATTTCTAAACGCATATTTTGAATAAATATAAATAGTAAAGCAAGATAAAAATGATGTCTAAGAAATAAAAGTTTAAAACGATAGATTTCTAAATAATAACAAAGATAAATGTTTCTCGTTTCAAATAATTAACTTTATTTCGTTTAATTAAAAGAAAATATAAAAAATGCTATTATTCAAACAACCCGACAATTAACCTGTTAACTTAGTTATCTTTTTTAATAGTGTATTTAAATAATCAATTACGATGCAAATAGCAACGTTACTTAATACATGATTTGTGTATATATAAAATGTATACACCTTGTATGTTCATTATCATAAACACAATTTATAGTGTCTATTGTTACGTTTTAAAACTATTTGGTTACAAGAAAACAAAGAAATTTCGATAAAAGCAGAGCTTGCTATCTTATGTTAATTTGATATATACTTAGATATGAAATCATTCAATATACTAACCTATAGTTATACTAACCTTTTGGTAAATATGTATATCAAAGTTTAATGGGCAGATATTAAATTACAAATTTCGCAAATTTGTTTTATAAACAAGCATTGCTCAAGATAAGCAGTAATGTTTTCGTAGGCATTTTTGTGATTTAACATCAAAAGCTGTAAAATTATGTACAGCTAACATTGTTTTATAACAAATACTTACTCACCGACCGTGAGAAGTTAGTGATTGAAACATTAAAGCTAGCAAATAAATCATGTTCATGTGCAATCAATTTTACGGTCACAAAAATATATTTTCTTTGCGAAGAAACACTTTGAGATTAAAATTGCTAGATAGGATAGTAGGAAAGAATTTGATATCATTCTCCGCAAAGATCTGACGGATTATAAAGGTATTACATTAAACAGATAAGAACCTAAGGAGCATACATGCCTTAAAATAATAAATCTGAGGAAAAAGCAATTAACACAAATCCCGATAAAATATTGATGAATAAATGAGCGACTTCGGCTCCACTAAGGAGCTACACCCCTTCAGAAATGACGGAAAATTTTGGTTTAATTTTTTTTTCTCAAAAATCATAAACGTTGGGAAAATGAAATTTGGGGAATATGTTTAACTCATAATAGGGCACGTTTTGACCCTATTTGTACTTTCAACCTACCCTTCTAAACTACTAAACATATTCCCCAAATTTCATTATCCTAGCGTTTATGGTTTTTGAGAAAAAAAAATTAAACCAAAATTTTCCGCCATTTTTGGAGGGATGTAGCTCCTTAGGGGAGCGAAGTCGCCCCTGGTACATATATCAAAGTACCCTTAAAATTCACTAAAGAATCACCCCTTGAAGTTTGTTACAGTCATTCATACACATCCTGTATATTCTGTACAAATGGTTTTTCCACATAGTTTTAATTTTTAACTAGTTGAAGTGGTTTTTATTAAAATCCGTTGCGTAGTATTTAATATCTCCACGTAGTTTGTAATGGAACGCATAGAGTATACAACCTATAGAGTGGACTTAATTATATTTGTTTTCTTTGACGTTATTATACGAAAACAACATTTAATTAGGCGTGCATAGGCAAGTTTTTCTGCAGATTCTGTGGCACTACTTCCATTTACAAATGCTCTTCTACCAGAAGATTATGTTTTGGTATTTCTATCGTCTTTTTTGTTTTACGTGTATGAGGACAACCCGACCGTCTGAAGAGCATCTGAAAAGTCTCTTATTTTCTAGGAATGAACCTAGTATTAATTGTGAATCCATAAATTCTCCTTTTTACGTGATCAAAGATTTGTGACTTGCTGAAGTAAACATGTGTCAACCAGTGAAATAAGAACTTAGAAGATTAACCTCATAAAACATCTTTTTGGCGTAAAGTGGTGAGACGAAATTTAGTATATGAAACCAGTTTTTTGTAGGGATTCGATCGCTCAATTGATAAATATTCACATTGAAACATTACAAATTATCAAAATCAAAATTCAAAGACAGTTAATTAAATCTAATTTATGGAGCAAAAGTGAAGACGAAATTTTTTGCTTTACAATATCGTATATTTAGAAAACTAAGCTTTACTTAATCAAATATAAGAAACAAAATTTTTTTAGGTATTGTTTTATGACCACTTAATAACAAAGAAGCCGAAATTTATACAAATATCAATTTACAATAACAAAGTGGCTCATATTCATTTGTTTAATTAATTGTTTTTGTATTCTTGTTTTTATTTTTTATTAGCAATGATTACTAAATCGATTTTTTTGAGTATTTTTTGTGCATTTTTATACCAGGATTGTATACATTTTGTAATATCGAAAGCTTTGATGGTGCTTTCACTTTCACTCAAACCACGTCGTGTTTCATTTTCAGTGGCCGGGTTGGTTACCCTACAGAATTTGCAGAACCTCGCCACGTTGCAACAAACCCTTCCGCAGGTGGCGTCGCTGGCAGCAGGACTGCAAAACATAGCAAACTTGGCGACGAGCAGCTCGGCTTCGAACGCTCCTCTAAATCTTAGCGTGAATGCAACAGGTACGTGCCGGGGACCTTAATCCCTCTCCTATTATTTTTATCGGCTCGTATTCCCTTTCCCAAAGGAAATTCTGTCTGTAGAGGCTTTACTAACCGTGACCTTTATTTTTAAACGATTTTATGTTAGTCGTATCAATCCTTTTTTTGTATTAAACTGAAAAACTTTTTTCTTCAATTACTTTCAAATACGTTCGGAAAAAAAACTTTTGTAATGTATTAGTTTACTTTATTGATATATTATTAGTTGTTGAAGTTTCAACTGAAAAATATAGCCACTAATTTTCTCTTTCACTTTATATATAGCATCCTCTTCACCGCGCGCGGGTGTCCAGTCCTCCGGTGGAGTACCCTGCGAACCCCCCTCAGGATTGATGGGGGGCAATCTGAACCCGCAGCAGCAGCAACAGCAGCAGCAGGCCGCGCCATCAATCCCGCCCCTCATGACCTCCCAGCAACCCGCCCCGATGCCACAATTTATTCTCGCCTCGGGTCAACTTGTGCAGGGTATACAAGGCGCCCAATTACTCATACCCACGTCGCAAGGTGAGAACACTCAATTAGCCATCCATCTTCCGTTAGTCAATCAGAGCCAGATTTGAAAAATTGATCGATTTTCTAAAATCATATCAAATCTCTATACTACAAAAAGATAAGTTTAGATTATGAAATCCTAACAATATGGGATATTTAATCATCATAAAATATACAAAAAAAAAATAATATGTTATAGAATTTAGTTTTATGTTGAGACATACATTGGGCAGGTTGCCAAAAAACGAGGTAACTGTCTAAATGCTTTCTGGCTACTTGCTTATTCATGCTAACTGCATCGTTTAAGTTACACGTGCTGAAATTTTTTACTCTCAAACGTTTTCAATTCAACGCAGCCGTGTATGACAGGCCATTACGCGGGATATTATGTAAATGAAATAAATAAGAGCACGCTGAAACGTAAGTTATCCTTTATCGACCAAGTAATATATCATGCCGGCGTCTTATATGCGATATTGGAACGCCAATATCGGGAGCGTCGGTTCGGAATATACCGTGAGGCGTTTCGTGTATATCCATATATGAGCAAATCAAACTACAATGCACAACATTTTTTTTTTTATTCAAAAGAATTTCGATGCGAGGAGAAGTGATGTCGACGACGACGGCCAAATTAACTCCAATAAAGCCGGTGTGTTTGTTGAGCTAATTTGTCTGGCGCCTCATCGCTGCATATTTATATTTTAATGAGTAATTTAGCGAGTTAATCTCGCGTAACATTACCAGGAACGGATGCTTTAATCTAATTACGCATTCCTGGAAATATTTTGATCTGATAAAATGTTTGTTTTGTGGTGATTTTAGGGCTCGCTACACAGACAATCCTTACCATACCAGTCAACCATGTAAATAGTAGTGATCAGATTGTTAACTTAGCGCTGACTAATGGACAGGTTGTATCGACATCGTTAGCGAACCTTCAAGCGATGGCTCAGCCCAGTATTCTGCCAGCGAACGGTACTAAAGCAGCGCGATCATCCCACAACCATATAATTAACACTTTCTGTTTTTCTATGTTTTAGTTCCCACAACAAACGGAACGATAGGACCTCCACCGTTGTTAAATCCACCGAATCTCACCCATTTACTCACCAACAACTCTACTCAACAGCTATTACAAACATTACCACAAATGTTGGGCGCCCCCCATCCGGGAGCACCTCCACTTTTGAATCCTTTAGCTCAACCCGTGTCATCCCTTTTAACGCCTCCGTCTACTTTACTATCAACACCGTCAACCCAAACCAATCCTAATCAAAGCAGGTCTCAATTAAGTATAAATCCGTTAAGTACAGCACATTTTACTGAAACGAAAATGCACCAACCGACGCCGTTAGTGAAAAGATCTACGTCACCACCAACACCGAATTTAAGTAACCTAAGTAGGTTAGCTACCAGTAATGGAGAACTTACTATTACCACATCACATGGGCCCAACTCTAGTCAAAATTTGAAGCGATCACCTTCGTCACTATCACCAAATTGTAATGATAGTTCGACTGCTGATTTACTAATAGATTCACCAAGTAAGTAAATTTAATTTTAATTAACACATCATTCAATTGCTGTATGAGCAAAAAATTTGTTTCCTTGAGCTTAACTTGTTCGTATTGCACCAACTGGTTTAAGTACATTGTTAATGGTTATTCAGATGCGGTTTTTACTGACCGAGCTCCGCATAGCATTAGTTTCGGTGCATAATGGCGCACGCAATCGCATGTTCCCCGGAATTATGTCCGACGTAAACCTTATTAACGTTGTTCTTGTACTGTACGCGCTAGACGTTTTTTGATTAAAATGCTAATGAGAGACGTACATATATATTCTTGTGCAGTATGCGGTGCGCCGCTTCGCGTACGGAAAGTGACAGATGTCAGTCGTTTGGACAAGTTTAATTTTTATAATTACCAAGGGATTTAAAATTATGAGCTTTTTAACCGTCTACGGTTTAACATAATTCCTTAACGATCACATCCTCCGGATTAACAACAACGTTAAGAAATTATGCAATCAGGTTAAGGTACTAATTGTGAATCTTGTTGCTAACGCTACTGGATATATTTCGCGCTCCAAAGGATACCTACCTGTTTAAATTATTATGGCATTTGACGTGGGAAATGTTAATTACAACGAATATAATTTATTTACTGGAAAATTAACTTAATTATGGTAATAACCGAAAGAAGTGTGTATGTTTTAACAGTAATCGTGTTCTTTTTAAAATTATAAATCAGCCAACAGGTTGGCGGTAATCCGCTAAGTGTTTGTTAACAGATTAATAAACACGTATTCGTCATAATAACCCAAATGATTGTTGAGATCGATAAGCGAAATTCACAATACAAACCGCATTGTAAACAAACGGCTCGTCAATAATAATATGCAAATCGAAATGCCACAATGCTTTACCATTTGCGTCCCAAATATCCAACGTGGGTATTCTTAAACTCAATATTACGATAATTTATTTTATATTTCATCTTTATATAGAATAATGAATGTATTGTCGATATCTTTAAGCACCATTTAAGCACGTTCAAATTGTACCCTATTCTGAAGTTATTGATAATTGAGCAATGAAAAATTACGGCCGGAAAAGAGAAGTAGTAGGTAATTCGTTTAATTATCAATTAATTAAATTACATAATGGACATTAATAATAATTAAATAGCAATTTACTGGGTGTTTGCGATATGACCGCGGCCTGGGATAGCAACAATAACATTCACAATTAATCATTCCATATCATCATCTGCAGTTGGATTAATTAAGCCAATAGAAGTCGGTTATTACCATAATAAAAGAATCGTCCCGGCATGAATAACTCCGTTACTGTATTTATTAAAGGAGCGATATTAGCTTAAGCGGGCGGCACATGACGTTAATTTAATTCCATCGATTCCGTTCTGTCCCAGATAGCGTAGATTTTACGTTTCGCGGTCGGATTTCATTAAGTGCAGATGTTCAATTAAGATTAATCGTAACAATCGCAATCTAATATGATAATTTTATTTTATAATTTGAGAATTAATCTATTCTTATGAGATTAAATCACAAGAAGTTTGATGAGAGTTTATTTTGTCGAATAGATTTCAAGATCCTAAAATTATTTACTAGGTATTCTTTAATTTGTTTCGCCCACATGTGAGCGTTGTACGTACCACCCACTAATCAATTAACAGCACCCACTTATACTTTGTTAAATTGTTGTAAAAACACGCATCTGTATTTACAAAATGACGCAATGGCAGCTGTATGTTATGTTAAAAAGACGAAAAAGCATCGTAAATATCCATTAACATAATCGTTTTTGAATCGCGTAGAGGATTTTTAGTCATTACCGTGTTACTTCCTACGTACGTTTAATAAATTGAAAAATTAATATTTTATGCGTCGGTGCGATTTTATGATTATGATGAATCGACGTTTTCCATTCTTCAGTCACGATTTTTTTTTATTGTTGATGAGGTAAAATAAATCGTATTCAGGGAACGTCCACATAAGATTAGTTTGTGCTAAGAGTGAAAGGTTTTAAATAAATAAATAAAAATATCGTCTTAATATTCTAAGAGTTTACTTCATTACCATTACAAATAAATTTCCTATGACTCATACGTTTTCTTTTGGTATGGTTTTATAGCCATTATTAACGATCAACTCAAAGGATTTAATTTCTCAAAATAGGTGATTCATACTGGAATTAACAATTTGGTGACTGAGTGAAGTCATAAAACTGTTATTTCTGCGTAGTTTTCATCTCTTATACCGAGTGACTTTTCCATACAGAACCGGACTTTATTTAATTTAAAACTTTTCCATCAGCCACTTTCACCGTGTGAACTGTTGCGATTCTAGTCATCATGATGAGGAGATATAATAATACACGTCATACGGCGGCAATCAGTATCTCTGTTCGGTAATTATCGTTAATTTTAAGTAAATTAAACATTGATTAAACAATTATAATCACTTGTTTACGGGTTGGGGCCCGGTAATACGCTGGACCGTAATTATCATTGTTATTGTGGTAGGAGCAATTATTATAATTGTACTTTGTTCTTAATTGCGCGAACAATACTTGGCGCAATTACTTGGAAATCTTATAGCAAAACGTGATGTCGCTTATTTTAAGATATAATATTAAGGAAGAAACTCTCTTTGGTATTTATTTATAATGAAGTTTAGGAAGCTACATAAAAGCTATGGAATCTTTCTGAAATATCGTTTCTTCCCCTCCTAATAGAACAAAATCGCTCATTTTTTTAATATTCAATTTAATTGCTAAAAACGTTTACTCTAAGTAAGCCAAAACACAAGTGTGCACGTGCACTAGATGTACTTCAGGTCTCGTTTACGATAATTTTATAATTTTATGGATAAGTTATTTTAGGATTCGATAAACTTTCGTTGCGTACTTGGGCATGTTGACACACGAAAGAATTTACAACAAATTTTTTTTATATGTTTGATAATACGCCGTAATGATCTGCACGTGTTACAATCTTAATTATTTTGACTTATTGGTTTCTTCCCAAAGATGTTCTAATTTTGGTGGCAATCCGTACATTTCTTTGAAAGAATTATCCCTGTTTGAGACCATTTTGATGATATTTCCTCTACATCAAAAGTAATACACGTATTAGTAGTTGTGTTGCCTATACCTCGAAACCAAGATATATCCAAACTATTAATATTAATGAATTCGCATCACCAATTAATTTCTCGTTCAAACATCAATTTTAAAATAGACAGCGGTATACCATTCTCGCTATTCCAATCTACAATATGGTCATGTTCAGTTTTAGGTTGAAAGCTTGTAGTTGCTTCTACCAATACCTCATCAGGTTCAATATCGTCTTCATCAGATTCTGAGTCACTGGGTGTATCTTCTACAATGACATATGTTTCGTTTTTCACCATATTGTTTAATTCTTTTTGACCCACTTTTTATTTATGGCTAAAAACAAACAATGTTTATCTATCCCTCAATGATATTCAAAATACACATTATACGCCCAATTAACAACAAATACCATGTTCTTTAAAGTGTAAATAAAAGTATTTATTCTAGAAAATATGAGGTAATATGTAACGCAATTTTCTTTTAGTATTATTATGACTATAACTCACCTGATAATTAGATACAGATAAGTAACACGTGCACACTGCCATAATAAACAGTCTGAAATAAGTACCACGAAGATGATACTAAAATCTGTACAAGCATTATCTCTGCTACATAGGCAACACATATTCAACTATGGTTTTTACTAAAAAAAATAGGCACTTAGAAAATTAATTTTAAATTTGTGGTTAGTAGTTGTAATCAAATTTTGGTGATACTCCCAACTTAATTTGAAATTAAATTTATTGTCATTAACGTGTGTAGTTAGTAGTTACTGTGAATAAAAATGTCAACTTTGAATTTTTCCTTTTTAATGTTGAGCGATTGTGCTTTGAGCTTGTAATTTTGTTTTTAACTTTTAAATGTTAATAGTATATTAATTAAAATTAAGAATAATTAATAAAAATATATATTTTATAGACTAATTAAACTTTACTTATCCACAGATCAGCCTACAATTAATCAAACAAACAGTAACGTTGTGGACGGCATCAATTTAGATGAAATCAAGGATTTTGCGAAAGCTTTCAAACTACGAAGGCTATCGCTAGGATTAACCCAAACTCAAGTAGGACAAGCTTTAAGTGTGACGGAAGGTCCGGCTTACAGTCAAAGTGCAATATGCAGGTAATTAAAATAACATTTCTATTTTTGAATAATTTTTATTTTAAATTTGCTACAGATTATTTTATGTTATGCTATCTGTTCATTTTAACTTAATTAAGTTAATGTAAACGTATGACATAGTTGATATTTTCAGTTATCGTGTTTATTGTTGATTGAATTACGAAGCACGTTCTGTGATTCAGAATATGAGTAATGGCTAAATAGAAAATAGGTGTGTTATAAAATTAGGTGGTTACACATGGGGAAATTTAAAAAATAGAAATCTAATCGTGATTACTTTCACCTGTTTAATTATATTACGTGACGAGTTTATTTAAAAGATTTTTTTATGGAAAATTTGTCGAAACCAACTTTCCGTTAACTGTAATAACATTAATTGGGGTTCATTAATTAATTAAACTATGATCGTTTTGCATTTAATCTAATTCATTAGTCACAATGTTATAATGAACAGGTAGATAAAATGCGGGATGCAGAAAGGTTAAAATAAATACTTTAACGTAATGGTAAATTTATCGTGACGAAAGAGAAAGATATTACTTTAATGGTTTATAGGCACTTGGCAGAACAGGGAGATGTGCAAGCTACTTGGAATCGGATTCCAATGTAGTAAATCTTGCGTATCTTCCTGATGTTAATAACTGTGAAGTTACGCATATTCTAATACACGTAAGTAACTGCTTATGGTTTGTTCCCAGTGCCCTGGCCTCACAGATGTTCGCCGCACAACTTTCCTCACAGCAGCAATCAATGTACGTTTCAGTTCCATTTTATACCGTCGTTTCTAATTTAAACTCCCTTAAGTCTATTAACCGTTAAGTTGACCATGCTTTAAAAGAAACAAAAAACGAAACTAATTAGACGCACTTCCGTCAAATTAACACGTATAAGTGTTCATTTAGAAGAAAGAGAATGTATATACATGTTTGGTGAGTTCTGTGGTTGTGGCATTGAACTAAAAGAATATAAACCGATTAAAAACAAAACGATACGTTGACTGCAAATAAGGATTGTTTTAAATTTTCAAAACGTAGAGAACGCTTATGGCGTCTAGGCCAGGGCACTGGCATATATTTAATAAACCCGTTCGTCGCTAATAGGAGCAGTTCACTTAACATTAATACAGTTTATATGTCAGTGTCCTGAGCCTTAATTATTAATTATACGTAAATGCGAGACTGTTTATGCGCCCGCTTAATGCGGCAATTAAAAACGATTACAGCTGTGCCGAATGCGAAATTATATACCCGCTCTGTTTACCCTTGCGAAATAATTTACACTTTGATATAATTTTTGCGAGAACCAACATTGATTAATGATGTAGCCGTGTTAATGCGTCGGGCTTAATTTAGAAATTACATTTTTAAATATGCAATTTTCGGCGCGCCTATATTTTTTTACCGATTTTACATTTGATTTAAGAGTAGTTTTTGTTATTTTTTGGCTCTATTAAAATAACAACTTTTAAATTGCTCATTAAACATTCAATGATCGTCCAACTTGTTAAAAAATACTAGACTTTATTTGCAAAATAGATTGGATGCGTTTAAAATATTTATAAGGATTAAATTCATTTTCAGTTTGACCGTAAATAACAATTTTAATTCTACTGTTACAATAATTAACTTCGCTCTTGTAAAATACTGAATTTTATGTTCAATGATCATTATTGTGATTTGACACAGTTGTAAAAATTATTTTAGCATTTGTAGAGAGTAAAAAACGTACCGTTTGATTAAATCACCTCACACCTTATTTCTTGTACGTAATTATGCTTGCTAATGAGCGTGGCCTTTGGAAACATCATTTATCACTGCCACATTTATAGTTAATTCGTAATTTGTGGACTTGTTGCGTAACTGGTAAGAGTCATCAAATTACAATGATTTGCTTAAGTGGCAAATTGAGAAACATGAAAACTGTTGGAATATTCATTAGCGGAAGATTTTCTTCATTAGTGCTAGTTATCCTTGATAAAAAGGATTATTATTTTAGTTAATGATAATATTATGTATGTCAATAAGTTAGAAAATGTTGCGAAATTTTTTCATAAAATTTAATATTCAACAAAAAAAAAGCTTTTGCTTTAGACATTAATCATAAATACAATTAAAATATTAGCTTATAATTGATACACCCGTACGTAAATTTACACAGAAAATTACTGGTACATATCAGCGAGCTTAGTAGAGTATATTTCCATAATTACTTTTTAAACATAACACCATTATTCATTTACAAAGACCGCTAATTAGAATTATTACATAAAAACACGCACATTAATGACCTGTCATTACCCTTTTCCTCGTTTTCCCCGCTTTCACAATGTCGCGGAGTAGGGAAAAAGAATTCATCGAATTCTTTCGTACGCGACTCGAATCGGTTATTAAGTTATCCTTACTTATTCTTGAGTTCATATTTATTCATTTATGTATTACCTCCGTATCTTTCCAATTCCATCAGATCATTATCTTTCATATTTGTTTCTTAATTACGATTTCAAACACTAATTGTACCTTATATCCAATAAAAACGACGACATTTAAAAAGCCGATCAAAATTCCACGCGATCCAAGCATTAACACCATTGAGAGAACGGAGACCCTTTTATTTACACATTTCTTACTAATTACCGGACAACTACGTTATCGTTTAAAATTGAGGCGCCACTATTTCTAAGGGGACATTATTGCATACAAGTTAATTACGTGTCTATTGCTTACGAACCAACATGGTACAGATAACGATCTAAAATTTATCATCAGCGCTTGGTAAACATACGGAATAAGTACTACGTGTATTTACAGTTTCGCCACTAACAATCAAGTGAGGCGGAAGTGCGTTCTAATTTGTTGTTGTAGTTTCTCAATATGTTCTTTGTATTAATTTGTTATCGTTTTCAGGTTTGAGAAGTTGGATATTACACCGAAAAGCGCTCAAAAAATTAAACCAGTACTGGAAAGATGGATGAAAGAAGCTGAAGAAAGGTTAGTAATTTTATCAGACTATAAAGATTATTTCAATGAGTATCAGAAAAAGTAGTGTTCATGATAAGGTGGGCTTTGCTACCGGTAAAATAATATAGCTTTAGCCTCATATATAATGATAAGTCTATGTTCTCGTTAGATATAGATTTTCTTTATACAGTATTCTCTAAATTAGTTATTAAGTTATAGTGGCACGCGATTATCATAATCGATAGCTTTATTAAGAAAACTGACGGTCATCTGTTCACATGCGCGATTCTAATCACATATAATAAAATAGTTAAGTAGTAAATAACACAACTTGCTATAAATTGTCGGAGTAAATGTGTTTATTTAATTCTTGTTATTAATTGAGATTACTGTAAGCACAAAATCTTCTATATTCTTATCCGTGTAGTTGGGGTTTCTTTGTAGTTTTACGAAAAGTTTGGAGTAGTAGTGTTGAATTGTTGTCTTGATGAATAGGGATTTTGCCAAATTATTTTTTTATCATATATTCACTGAAACACCAAATCTGAAGAAGACATTTTTTTTTAATTTCTCCGAAAAATAACAGCAAATGGCGTTTACAACAGTTTCGCCACGTTATAGATAACTTATTTTGACTTCAACGCTCTCTGTTAATCTATTTCTATCAGAGGTTTACCACTTTATACCAGATCGTTCATTTGTAGATATTGTTAGGAATGGAACCAATACAAAGGAGATATCTAGAACTTTTTCAAACATTCTGGAAATTTCTAGAAAAATCCGAATCGCGCTTGTACATGGAATGAGGAAATCAATTGTTAGCAGCCATCGTGTTAACAATTCGTGTTCAAAAAAAATTAGTTTTAATTATTGCTGTAAATATGTTGAGCCTTATTATTTCATATTTATCTCACAGGATGGAATTAGCATATATTACATTCCATAATAGTATTAATAAAATTAAAGTTATTTCCCGTTTTATTCTAAATGATAATATTTAAATAATAATGCACTAAAGTTTTTCTAGGTACAAAAGCGGACAGAATCACTTAACGGACTTCATAGGAATCGAACCGTCTAAAAAACGAAAGAGGAGAACGTCGTTTACGCCTCAGGCTTTAGAATTATTAAACGCGCACTTTGAAAGAAACACACATCCTTCTGGTAAGTAACTCCAATGCAATAATGGTATAAAATTGATAACTTAATAACTGCTTTTTCTTTAATTTCTTCTATAAAATTAATACTGTTTTAATAATTACAGGAACTGAAATAACGGGTTTGGCTCACCAATTAGGATATGAACGTGAAGTAATCCGGATATGGTTTTGTAATAAACGGCAAGCACTGAAGAATACGGTGCGAATGATGTCTAAAGGAATGGTGTAAACGTAATCGAACAAAAAAGTTAAATAATTTTAAAAAAATGATACATTAGTGCAACGCCTGTGATCACACGAACTGTAAACGATGATACCAAGAGGATTCGTATTATTATTGTTAATATAATATAAATATGACGGACGCACTGAAAATGGATTTATATGCAATGTATTATTATGAGGAATAGTGTCGTGTGCGCGATCGTACGGCGATGGACAACGGTTCATGCTAATGTCCGTTTAATTGGCGCAATTAACAAGAATAATCGGCCTCCATTTGAAAATGTTCGGACGAATTAACCATTATCATTACTGAGTAATGTAATTGCGCCAATTGGACGTGCAACGATGGAAAAATAAATACTTAGATAGTTATATTTTTCGATTGGTGTTTCATTAAATTATTAAACGAATCAGTATACGGAACGTATAAAAAAAGAGTACAGTCAGTTTCACTTTAAATTCGCTTCGTCTAAATTCCCTGTAGTGTCATCTAGTGACGGTTTTCCTGAAAGTGTTGACGTAGAATCCTGTAAAATAAATACCAGCCTGGTGTAGAACCTCGCTAAAATACACAGAAAACGATCGATTTAGTAGCGAACGACAATTTACCGAAGGCAATATTGTGCGCGAGTGTGTATAGTTTTAAAGATAAATCGCGACCTTTTGTTCTCTCATGATAGGGTTCGCAAAAAGTCGTTTAACTAAATAAAAAGAAATAGCTTTACTCAAGTTTGTAAAAAGTACTGTATAAAAACAACATATCCAATCAGTGGGTTTCCCCCACAATTTGTATACGTATTATGATAATATTTAGATAGAGATTGTAATTATTGTATTTTTCACAAGTGACCAAAATGGTGTGATGCCAGAAATATTGTTCGAAATTTATAATATTTGGAAAAACTCGGATATATAAAAAAAGATGGAGACTATTTATTACAAATTGTTATTTCGATTTATATTGATGCAAAATTTTCCGTGAATAAGGCATAGCGCCATCTTGTGACTTTTCCATTGTATCGAAAGTATTTCTCATGCTTTTACGTGTACTTTCCATATATAAAAAGTATATAAAAAAGAAGACGGTTAGTTAGTCATACTGTGCAAGTATTTATTTCCGAATTTATTTTTTTATAAGCTATTTATATTTATTATTTGATTATATGAATTATAATAATATACGATTAGAAATTGTGTTTAGATTTTCGTTTTATTCTTTGATCAGTAGGAGATTTTGCAATCTCCGAAAGAAACCAAAGTTCCTACTAGCATCGTAAGCGCTGTATCTCTTTGTACATAACAATAATTTTAAGAAGTTAAGAAAGTTCATTATTATAACCATTGATGACGATGATTATTAGTTATTATTATAATTACGATTTATTATTACTGCAATTATTATTACCTTTATTGAAGTCTGTGTCAGAGTAGATATTATTACGATTATCACGCAGGAAAAAAACGCTAGTTGCTAAAGTTTAGCATTCGTGAATGAATAACTGAGAAGAAATTGTAAATGTTTGTGATGTAGACGTATAATTAAATAAAAGTAATTGTGGTACGACATTTTTCATTATTTTCACGGTTTTCCAATCATTTCTATAAAATCAATTCAAAATTAAACATTAGCCGTTTCAATTCAAATCAGCGCCATCTTTCAATGAGATAATACATTTTATTAAATCTATAGGCTTAAGAGATCTTTTTAAAACATGAAACAATTTCATTAACTTTCTTTTAGATGTCGTTTAGAAAGGCTTTATAATTTAAAATTAACCCAAAATAAGGATGATGATTTCGCGCAATATCAAAGAGCTCGTTGAAGCTCACGCCTTTGTTCCGTCTCACCACAATAAGACTAATATCCCTCCGGTAACATTAACGACAAAGGTTTTAATTGGGCTGGTAAGAGGTGTCAAATAATGGAGTCGTTTGCTGGTAGAACGCTCTTATAGCTACTGGATACGCTACAAAGATACGCCACATCCCTATTTTGATGTTAGAATCTTTTGAGACATTCGTCACGTATCTCTTTAATCATTTGCTTTGACCTAAATAACAGTATTTTCCCAGAAAGATGTATTAGGAAGCAGACACGATGTTCTTTTGACGTGGTTTCTACAAAGAAAATGAAGAAAAAGCAATTTAATCCTACTTTAGTGGTAAAATTTTAATTTATGTTAGTTAAAGTTAATCAGTCGTAATCCTGAAAGATTTTTAAGTCCATCGCTTTCATCCGGAAGGAATTATTTTTAATTTATGGTCAGCTACGACAGGAAATTCATCCCCAATCAGCACTCTAATTACTCTCCCTTTCTTCTGCATAAATCATTATAATCTCCTAGCGTGAGCAACCAGATTGAATTAATTTAAAATGATTAATACGGCGTCTACTGTAGGAAGCAGACGTCGGATCGTCGTGGGCAAATTATTTTAAAATTACGGTCGGTTTAGTGAAATCTTTGACCTAAGTTCTAAAATCGTTATTGTAACACAATGAAAACTAACACATTGTATTTATATCTGCACCAGATATAAATATCTTCGGTAATTATTTCACAAATTTATAAATAAGATACTTTCGAAGAACTAAAAAACTTGAAGATGGGTTATAACATAAAGTTATGCAACAGTATTGTTCTATTTCCGATTCTATAATTAATCTTACGATTTTCTGTTTATGACGTGGATGACTTTACAGTGTAATTTTAATTTGTTAAGATGCTCACTGTGACTCTGGGAGTGCTAACCAATCTGTTTTTTTTGGAACATTATGTTTTTATCCAAGAATATTTACCTGAAGTGATCTTTTTTTATTAATATCCGAAGCGAATAATTCGCTTCGGATATGAAATAAATTCGAAGGGTAATTTTGTTATCTCCTTTATCCTAACATATTCATCAAAAAGTTTTTAAGGCTAAAACTATTAATCAAGTTGAGTTGGATCTTTCAAAGGAACAATGCGGGTGTTCTTAACTTTAGGTTTATCCCTTCACCACGCCTCAGAAATTATCTTAGAAAACAGATTAGAGAAAGACAATGTGTATTGTTAAAAAGTGTTTTATATGTTTAATGTTTTAGAAGCTTATTATTAACTTCAAATATTTTTAAAATAACCGTTTCCACTAATCTGATCTTCATCCTTAATAATATAAATGTAATGGTACTGTGAAGTTAAACTCAGATAATGGCAGAAATTTCTCGTCAATTCATCTTGTATTGTTATGTGGTAATGGCGCGAGAAATTCAATTATGTCAATTAATCTATTAGCGTTAAATTCTATGAGGGACTTTAGCTACTCGGTTAAGGTTGCAAATACTATAACGTACTTCACCATATGCTCATTAAGAAGAATTAAATAATTTTACCACATCTTGTTAAATTTATCAAACAGATAAATAAAGCTATTAGTCAATGAAAGCTTTAAAACTTCTGTAACTATGGTAATAATCCTTTAGATAGCTTAACAGGAAGATGGTAAAAGTGGGCTTAAGTGGAAAAGTAGTTGGTTAACACTCAAACAAAATTTCGCCGGAATAGGCGTTTGATTGAGAATAAGTGTATCCTGCTTAATCTTAAGAAATGAATATTAAATTTAAATTTTTTAGTTATGTAAGTACCAATTTTAGAATATCATTTTGTTGTAATAGATTTTTAAAATGATGCTGTCAGTTCATGAAGTGAAAAGAGTTGGATGGCGTAAAAGTCAATATATCATCCTATATTCCTTCGATAACGAAAACGATTGCCGCTCCCGGGTTAACTCAAAGTACACACGGCTAGCTAAGGAAAATTTCTGAAGATATACGAGAGGGTGTGAGTGACGAATGATATAAAATCAGAATGTGTTAACGTATGTAAAAGAACTGATAAGATTTAGTTAATACATTAGTTAATAGTTTAAAAGAAAAATACATGCCTTATAAAACTTACATTAATTATTTTTTTTAATACTTTTCAATATAAAAATAAACAGAAATCTTAATTTTTAATACAGTATCATACTTTCATCATCATAGTTTAAAATAAAAATACATGCCTTATAAAACTTACATTAATTATTTTTTTCAATACTTTTCAATAAAAAAATAAACAGAAATCTTAATTTTTAATACAGAATCATACTTTTAGTTTCACATAATATATTTATCACATTTTAATTTAATTCTCAGCAACCTCTTTACTTCTACCGTTTGCCCTAGAATCTTTTCCTGTGATTGTAATTTCATGTCTTTTGGCTCTAAATTCCATTACTTCAATGGTGGTGTATCCACATACGCCAATAAGAAGCAATCCTAGTAAAAGGTAAATTTTCACGTTCGTACACAGATAGGGGCTGTAAACGTAAGTTATGACGGAACCTGTTGATTCCCACAGTCTGAAATTGCTGTAGGCGGCCTCCTCTTTCCCCGGAAATAGGATACCACTCAATGCTGAAAGGGTCCAAATTAAAGGATTGATTTATTTTAATTACTTAATAAGTATCGGAAAATACCGTTTATGTTAACCAACCAAACTGCGTCTGATATTCCCCATAACCCTGACATAAGAAAGTACATCAATTTGTTTTCTGAATCCGGCCTCCAAAATAACATTGTAACAATTAAAGATACATGTAATGCTAATCCAAATGCTATGACTGGTGGTCTTCCTATTACTTTAACTAAGTTGCCGATTATTATCGCTGCGATAGCATTACTTACTCCAAAACAAATCATTACAAAACCTATGTTGCTTATTCCCCACCCACAAGAAACGAACGACTGAAACGATAAAAAGAAAACAATTTTAAATAATTTCCTTTTAAAAGAAATAGTAAATATATTAGTAGTATATTATAGTAAATTAAAATAATTTTCTTAAATTTTACTAATTTTGTGAACCATCAGTGTATTCGTGATTGGTGAATGCTTGACCAAAGTTCGTAATCAGTCACGTATTTCTATGCAAACAATGTACGTAAACCGTATTTAGTTAGATGTCGACAATCGAGCAACCCGCAGCAAATATTTGTAGATGAAACAATCCGTGACACTTCAAAGGTTCCTGAACGTGCGTACAATCCAATTTGGTGCGTTTGAGATCGATAATTTCCTAGCTTCGAAGTTAAAAGGCACCCTATTTGAGGTCGAAACTTACCGCATTGTAGTCAGCTGCTATAAAGGCCTGTTCGGCTCCTATGAACATGGTGATGGGTAATATTAGCAGTTGGTAAGGGTGAGACAAGTGCTTGAGTGTAACCGCAAGCATTTTGAATCCGGAAAGGCCACTGCCGCTCCCTTGGCGACCCCTATTGTACCTGAAACGTAATTAAGTGAATGATTAACGATGTTTCATAGCGATTGGACGATGTATCTAAGGAATGTGCGGTTAGAGTGTACTACACGATCTTGGAATTTAATTAAGTTTGGAGTTGAGAAAAGTCATATAGACGTGTTATAACAAGTAGAAAGTGTTTAATAAGTCGGCGGTAATATATGGGACAAGTTGATGCTGAACTTTGTCATTGCTTAATTATGTTCAAAGTAGTATTAAGAACATGTCGACAAAAAGATTATTTGATATAATAAACTCGGTTTTCGTAAACTTTGAAGTTTAAGAGAAAAGTGTACAATCAATTAATTATTATGATAGTATTATTATCGAAATAAATGTTTCAAGTTGGGTGTAAATGGCCCCATTGAGCATGGGAACTTCTAAATACAGTTTGACGTGTTGATAAATTGTTTCGAATATCGAGATACGCCAACAGCTTTATTCTCCTGGTTCTGCAACGATCCCAAAACTTTAGCAGTTGTTGTTGAAAGTTTCAGTCGAAGGCCTACAATAGTTTCCGGTATAGATAAAGCCATCTTTTACCCGGATATTGGACTTCGAACTACGTGTCAACGAAGTTCCGTTTGTCGAATGCTTTCGTAACTATAACGTAAGTTCGAGAAACGTCCAATATGTTAAAACATTTTTAAGATTTAATTGATCATCAATTTTTTTAGTTACCTTGACCGTGTTATGTTTGCAAATGTGAATTAGGAAGCTAGTACGTACTATCTTGTTGCAATATGCAAATTTTCGTTAATGCTATTACGGCTGTCTGACGCTGTTGGCCAATAACGCAGTTGAAATTTACGTTTTGATTGATAGATAAACTTCTCAGGGATCGGGTTGATACATTGCTTACCGCGTTGTGGGTTTCAATTGTTTGAACGACTCGCACTGTGACTTTACACATAAACCTCTGATTAAATAGGTTATCTAAATTAGAATTTACTTAATTCTTAACGTATATCATTTTAGTTTACGTTGAATCTATTCAAGTTGAGGACGAAGTGTACTCAACCTTGAAAGTTTGTCTTGCAAATTATCGGGTGGGTCGCTTTGATCATTTCTCGTTTAATTAGTAGTTTGAAAAAAGTTTTTGAGTTCACTTCATCGGACAGAAGAATAAATATTGATTCGACCGAGAGAGGGACGAGTGCATAAAGCGAGTCTCTTTCGTAAACTTTATGACTTTATTAAAACTTCTTAATTGAATTCTAGTCATCAGGAAGGGTTGTTCTTAATTGTGCTATCTATTATGAGACGATAAACATTTTTTAAATGTATTTTTAGAATTCGGTAAATGCAAGACATTGAAGATTTGTTTGAATTGTTTATATGACCACGACATTCGTGTATATATTAAAGCATCCCCATTAGTTATGTCGGAAAGACTATTCCAGCTCGTTGAATAGATGAACGCGAGTCACGTTCGTTGACATTCTGTTTTCGCGCCTCCAGTAATCGACGAGACGCCAGATAAATCGGGGAAAATTAATCAAATTGTTCGCCCGTCCAGATGACTTCAACGGTCGTCCTCAATCAATATTTAATCACTGGTCGTCCACATGTCCCGAATAGCGTGCAATCCAATTACTACAGACTCTCTAAGCAACTCCCGGCTCTATTATCGCTTACCTTGTGAGGGAATCTACTCCAAATGCCACTATAAGGCACGCCACAACCATACAGAGTAAATAGATGCCCGCAATGAGATTGATCTTTGAACTAGGTGGTGGTTCCAGATTCGGATTCGAGTCTTGAGTTGTACCCGGACAGAAATTAGCTCCGCAAAAATTATCGATTGACGTATTTTTAATTGACGAAATGAAAACAGTCGTTATGTTGGAAATTGTTTCGTTTGTGTTATCCGAAGAACCTCCAGTGGATAAAACTGTAATAATAAAATTAAGAAAATTAAATCGTGCTGACCGTTGAAATCGAGCGTACAATTGAATGCGCTCAAAATCTCTTTAAAATGTTCCTTGTGAGATATCAACTTGACATCTTTCCAAAGAATTCCGGATTTCAATTCCGGTTAAGGATAGCGTGAAATATCCGACGTCTACTTGAATGTCAACCTGTGTTAACGTATGAGGATAAAATAGGCGATTTAAAGGTGGATAAAATTTATCGATGTGGTGATAAGTGAGCAACTTTTTGTGATTAAAATGATATAAAGTTTCAATTTTACAAATCGCTATGGTTTTAAAAAGTGTAACCTTTATTTTTTATTCAAAGTATTTGCTTAATAAAATTGTTAAATTCAATTCTTTACTTCAAATTTGTATTCCGTGAATTATCCTCCTTATCTTTTCAGTGTTTTCTTATTCACACCTTTTAATATCTCCACGGAGGATTGAAATGGATGATTACCGCCAAGGGTGGCGAAATCGTTCTGTTTCTGTTAACTGTCCCGATGGTGGGGTGAATTTTTCAGTAAGTATTTGGAATATGCTATAAGGGAGTTATATAGAACAATACACATCCTGAATCCATAATAGAGAAAATAATAAATAAACTAAATAAGAAGCACTCAAAAAGTACACCTTTTCCCAACAATCCCAACAAAAACTAGAATCAGAATATTATAGATCGATAACGTATCAAGGGAACTTTCCAATAAATTTAGAACACGTAAGGTCATACATTGCAGAAATGGGTACACATCAAAAAGCGAATGTAGGAGAATAGAAGGTCAGAAGGTTAAACTCGAAAGAAAACCAAAGTCACCAAAGAATCTAACGGTTGAGAGCTATGGCATCAAAAAAATTAAGAACAAGAACCCGAATTACTCTGACATATCACAACGAGTAGATGATCCCAAGAAATACGCCTATATTTATACCTACAGCAATCTTACGCTTCTTAACCCCGTAAACCCCGAGGTGAACCATAATTACATTAGCTACCATTCCTTCTTAAAACATACCCCTACTTTCCCATTTTGTTTGAAATCTTCCATTTCTCTGTATAAAAATAAATATCCTACTTGCAACATCCTCTTCACAAGAAAATTTCAAATGAACGGTATCTGACAGTAACACCAAGTGAGACATCGCAACATCTGACTTCTTGGATTTTTCTTTTGAAAAATATCCTCGCTGGCAGACTTTTTTTAACCAAAAAAACCATCTTTCACTATATCTACGAAGAAATTTATAGTTTTTGCTAAAAATACGGAGGTAAAAAGTAAAGCCAACTGAAATAAATTTTAGAAAAAAGTTCCAGAGAAATGTGGTCTCTAGACTAGAGTCTCTAGATCGATACATGTAGAGGAATCTAACGATTTAATCAACGGTTACCAAAACAAAAGATATTTTTTAATAAACTTTTCATATTGCAATGAGAGAAAAAAAATGGTTGGAAAAAATCATAGAAACATATTTCATGCTATTCCTTTTGGAAAAAGTGAGCAATTGGCTGTTTTGTTAGTTTTGATTTAAAGTTTTCAAACAAGTGAAGCAGCTGGAATCTTCACGATTTTCGTGATTTAAAGATGTTCGTATCTACTACAAATATAGAAAAAAAAGAGAGAAGAACATGCCCTTTCTCAAGTGGATTAGAACTACAAATGCGATGAAGAGAAAACGTTACGTGCATGTAAACAGGGTCAAAGAAAATGAAAAGAGTAGAAGAGAAGAAGATAATAAAGTTAAAGAACTTGAAATCGTCATCTGAAGAAATACTTTGTGAGTATTACATAACTGCGAAGAGGAGCTATATGTTTCTTTATGTTAATTTTGTCATTAATTTTATTCATGGCACATAATAAATAGTAACAATAAAATGTGTAAATTTTCACGTTTATTAAAACGTCATTTCTACACATAGAAATCTCATTTAATCTTAAGGTAAAGGTAAATTATATATGGTTAAAAGAGGTTCCAGTAATTATACTCTTAATCTTTGAACTCTCTTTAACAGAAAAATAATGCTTATAGAAATCGGATATTCATAAACAATTACGTATTTATTAACTTACGCTGACCTTCAATTAACGTATTATCGGCGTTTAAAAGAAAGTGGTTGTTTTTAAACTTATTTTTGTATTAAAAAAAATGTTATATGATATTCTAATATTCAATTTGCCATTACTCACAAGATTAATAATTTACTTAATATATTTTATTACGTTATGGTGAAGGGAGAATGTTTTTTTAACCTTGATCTAACCCAAATTTTACATTGATCAAGATAAGGAACCTTAAATAGGTCTCAAATATTTTAATGATAACTTTACCTAAATTTGTCTACTTTCTTTTTTCTTCTATAAAGAGATTAATTTTGAAATGTCGTTTCTTTTTATAACAAACGTTCTGTTGTTAGTTTATAATGCGGTCATTAACAAGAAAAGAATTTTCAATTTGATCTCTACCGGATACATTCAAAACGAAAGTAAGTAAATATGAATGTGTGGGTTTACGAGGTCATTCGCAGTAAAAATATGACCACGAGTTTAAAGTTTAATATCTATTCCTTATACGGATTGTCGACATTAAAATGCTAAGCACTTACTTGCAGAACTGATTAAGTTGCCCCAGACTTGGGAGAATTGGTAAAACATAAAGAAGACTCCGAAGAATCTCGTAACTATAGCGTCTGCATTTAAACCGCTGATTTTCGCGAAAGCTTCTGAGGCGACCGTTAAATAAGTACATTTGGCGCACCATAACGGACCTCCTCCGAATCCAACCAATAATCCTGCGGGAATCATTGTGAAAAATTTCGGATAAAATTGGGCCATGATAAAAGGCATATAAGCGATGAACGATACTGCAACTGCCCATTTACATCCCAACCATCTAAAAGAAAAAAAATGTATCTATTTATACACATTTTTTTTAATGGTAATTATATTAATTAATACATTTTGTGGTTAAAACAAATGGAAACGTAGAAACCATTTTAATGCAAATTACTTGTTTATTAGCATGTAGAATAAAACAGGGAATTTTTTACTATCTTGTTTCGGAGAATGCACGAAAAATTAAAATAAAAAATAATAAATAAATGGATAAATGGAGGTCGTCTACATTTATTTAACGTGAAACTTATTACTCACCTTATCACAACAACAGGAAGGAAAATGTTGGACAAAATTAACGATCCATATATTGAGGCTAACGTGAACGTACCAAGAGCTTCATCCGCATTGACAGAGCTTTGTAAGTTTGAAGCTCCCCAAAAAGCCGTAAAGTGAATCATGAAAGCAGCTCCTAACATCAAGACGTTTTTCCAAATTCTCCATAATTCCTTTGGACTAAATTCTTCCTCGGCTTCTTCCTCGGAAGTTTTTACTCTCGTAAAACGAGAATCCATCTCCTTGTCAACCCTTAAAATTAAAAAAGAAATAAATAAATAAAATTTTTATAAAAAAATTGAAAGCGAATTATATTTTTACTAAAATTAATCAACGATTTTAATAAACATCTAAATTTTATACGATTTTCATTATCACATTTGTGTGGAAATAGTTCAATTGGTTATGGGCGACCTCCAAAAGCAATTAAGACGAAAATAATTTAATGGTTAAATAAATAAAAATTATTCCATCAAGATATTATATTTTATAAACGGGGAATACTTAATTTATTTTGTAAATTATAACTATAAACAATTTAGCTAATTAAATATGTTATAACTCACTAGTCAATGAAAAAATTTAAACTATTGAACCACACGACACAAGGCAGAAACGAGAATGAAAGAGCAAAGGTGTTTCTTGAATGTATCAACTATCTCTTACCTCTGTTCTGGGTAACTCCCAGTGTCAAATAAGAGCAACCCATTTCAATAAATTTCAAGGCTCTTGGTTACTTTATTACCTGGGCACATGAAAATCTTGGTTATCTTAAGGAAGTTGTTCTTTTTGTCTTGATGACCATTATTTTTATATTATAAATATCAATTCACTGTCGTTGATTTTAGACTGGTTGTTTTTAGGTAATTTATTATTTAAATTAATTAATTCTTTGACGAAACAAATATTTACGTCACATATCTTTTAGGTGTGTTACCAATAAAATGAATTAATTATTGTTTTTTATCTCAATTAAAATAGATTAGTTTTGAACTTGTTCATTTTAGTTTTAACTTTGCTGATTTTAACATTATATCGACGTTTAAAAAAAATCTCGCTTCAAAAAGTATCTAATAAATGAATTAACCTTCACATCAACATTATAATTCAAACAAGAGGAAAATGTAAATATATTAAAATTTATTGTCATACGTTCATAATTGCAATGCAAATTGGTAGTGCAATGTTAAGGACGGTTACTACTTTCATTGTCAAGAACGATCCCACCAACTTTCCAGAGAGTTCACTACATATTGAAAGTTATACAATGTGGCAGGCAATTGGCTATACACTCCACGGTAGTACGGGATGCATACAACACGTTTCTAATAAGAAATTAGCCATGTAAAGCGATCGTGGACAGCGGTAATTGGATGGTAAAGTTGCATGAACTTCTCTTCAATCAGCATGTAGAACTGGATATTACCGCACTAGTTACAATTGTAATTTGGTCTAGTTAAATTATGTTAAGATGATTTCCCCGTTATAAAAAATATAAACTTTGTATTAAATCTTTCGAATATATGCAATTTAATCTGCATCCAATTTCTTCGAAAACATTCCACATGCACGATTAAATTTAAATCTAAAGTTATATAACGAGTATTCGTAAGTTAAATGACCCTACCGCAGCGTCGTTTCAGGCGTCTTTTCAATACAGTTCGCATTCAAGGAGATTCAGAGATTTTATTAGTGTCTTTACGAGTATATCCGGAAAATACTTTTTAACTGCATTTTCCGAACGTCTCAAATCCTTGACTACGTTTTCTTGGAATGGTGGAAAGTCTCATAGTACCTCATTAGGGAATTCTTCTGTCACGTCGCTTTTGCATTGTTTACTATCGTTGAAATGAGGTCGGTGCTTTCGTTCATTGTCGACCATGTTCAACTTCCCTTTTTTTGTTTGTTTTCTTTTTATTCACACCCTCAAATAGATTGAAATTTTTCTCTTTGATTGTTACCCCTAGGAATAATAATTCTTGTAATTTAATTAATAATCATTTATAATTAAAATTTATTCATTCTAATGGATACGCTAAATTAATTATTCTTCATGTCATTATGTTCAAACGAACCACTGGAGGTTACAGTTTAATTATCAACTTCATGGTGGGATTATAGTATAGGTCTGGCAGATTAGAGTATTGAGTGAAGTTTCGAACTTTAAACTAACCGTGGCTTTGTCTACCGTTCGAAACTTTTATTATAGAACGTTCTGATTACGAATGCAATAGTTTATAATGAGCTCTGTCTCAGATTGTAAACTTAGGGTAATTCAAAGTTAATTTATTTGTTAGCTTAAATATTCAAAAGCAATTTATAGTAAATTAATTTTAATTAAAGTTTCTTAATTTACAATTTCAATATTTAATTGCAAACTAACATCGTGGAATTAACACCTTTTGTTAAAATATAAACTATTTACATATATTTTCTATTTCTGCTTTTACCAAAGGTGATAGAGAATCTAATGATAAATACAACGTATCTGTGATATTAGATAGGATAAGCATATCAGTGGGTATGTAAATCAGGATTTTCTAACTTTTACGCACCGTGAAACACTTTTTAAGTTCTAAAATTTCGTTCTATTGATCTTATTCATATCTCTCGCTTATTTTAGATGCGTTTTAATGAATTTCCGATGTAATTAGTTTTCCTGTAGGACAAAACCCCAGAAACTGTTGGAAATTCAAATCAAGTGAATTCAAAAAATGATATGAAGAAGAGAAAAAGAGAGTGAGATAAAATGTGAGATAATCATTACTCCTCTAGCCCATTCAAATTCTGATATGTGATAAGTTAAAAATAACCGAAAAGCAAGAAAAGCAAAGATAGAAGGATGCCATAAATATAAGACTTGGGAGTCCCAAGATGGAAGTAGCGAATGATGAAAATGTTGGGATTGTAAACGCTCTTGGGACACCAGTATATTATTTTATCTGTTTTCGTACTACTTTCGAAGAATAGTGTGATAAGCTCCTGGACGCTCCTGGAGATGAAAAGATTGTGAGGTTACGTTTTTTTTTGATAAAATTGGTGGCAGCTTCTTGTAGTTGGAGGTTATGCCTGGAAATGTGTGAATTTAAAATTATTCTGCGAATCAGGATCTTAGTTTATTCATTATTTTTTTAATTTTATTAGTACGGGGTCAAATTTATTAATTTTAAAATCAACGGATTTCCGAACGATATATCTATACCTACAGTTCATGAAAATTGACTACATTTACTGGAAGGATGATTTGAAGCAGGATCTGGTATTTTCTAATGGTTATGTATAAACTAAATGTACACCGTATTAATTTATTTGTTTCATTCTTTTGCAATACCGATGAAGAAGCAGCGTTCCATAAAGAGCAACAAATATTATCCCTAATTATTGCCCCTTATGGAACATGGCACATAAAACGGTTGTAAATTATATACCATACTTTCATTTAAATTCGTAATTAGAATAGGCAATAATTATTTTCATAAATTGGCAGCACACTATTTCCGATAACACAACAGAAGTTATATTTATTGTGTTAAATAACGCATAATTTGAAGTGCTTCACAACGTTTATAACTTTAATTTGATTTTATTATTATTTAATTTATAATTATTTCGACTTTGTTAATAAATTCTCCACATCTAACTATAATTATAAGTAAAAGAGATAAAGAATTTTTATAAATGATAAAATGAACGAAGATGTCCTTTCAGGTCAATTATTACTTTTCCATCAAGGTAGAAATTAAAATCGACATGAAAGGAGGAAGAGCAATTTTAAGGCGATTAACCTTGATGAAAAGTACAAATTAACAAATTTGAAATGGTTATTATAAATTGAATCAAAAGTGTACTCAATTTCTAAATTCAATTCAATTTATTTTCTTAGCGGCAAGTTTCATCCACTTAACTATGATGTTTTAAACATAAAACTGTTCGATAAATAATCCTTTTATATTCATTGTAATCTATACGGTTAAATATATTTAGCATCCATTAATATTTTATTTTGTAATTAGAAAAGTAAAATTATAGATACACGTTATAGCCATAAAATTAATTGATATTTTATCTGAAAGAAGACGAAGAAAGAGAAATCACCGAAGATGATTATGTAACTCAGAACATCTTTTATACGTTTTCTAAAATATCAAAACAACTTACAGTAATAAATCGTAAAACTTTGTTGAAAGAAAATCCATCTAGTCAAATGTAGGTTAAATTTTATTATCTCCCATTTTATACATTAATTACATGATAAAATTTATCTGTATAATTAAGCGAATGTAGTGCCATAACGTAATTAACTAAGTATTACAATAAAAAAACGTTTCAATTTTTATAATACCACCAAAAAAATTAAAACATATTTTTAAAATACTTACTGGTTGTTGACATCTTCTTTCTCCAATTTATCCGATATTGTGTAAACCATTACAAATACAAATTTCGCAACTAGACTTGATCCACTTTGCAAAAGGCGCGCAACGGTTTCAACTCAAACTCTTACTTTTGCCTGCCAATGCAATACTGACTATTTGATATAATAATCTTATCCCGTTTCGTTAAAATCGTTGCGAGTTTAAAAGTGATTTGCACCGACTAACAGCGCAGAAAGCTGTTTTGCAAAAAGATGCATAGAATGACCTCCTCCTATAACCCTGAAGAATCCTTTCAGAAGCGTTTACCTTTTCAGTCTTAATTAACGTCTAATTGTGCGATGTATAATAAAAAAATTCAAGGATTCGAAGTGTATTTCTTTTAAAGCTTTGCACCAGACTAAGCTTAATACATATAATTACATTGAATTGATTTAAAATTTATTGAATTTGCATTATATGTTGAGTTTCTTGTTTGATCAACCAAGCGGATTTAATTACATCACGAACTTCTCGAAACAGTGATGGAAAGTGTTCGTTACCTTCATGGTATATTAGGTACTTCGATTTTAATGGGTATTTAAGTCACAAACAGATGAGGAACAACCGATAAAAATAAATAATTAAATAAAATGAAGCTATTTTCATCTGAAATTACAATCTAGAAAATTTAAAAGGTATTTTTTTATTTTGTATTCATAAAATAACCAGCTAAAGAAAAGAAAATTTAAGATGAATCTCACGATAAAAAATTTCATAATAAACGAGAATAGGTAATTTTAATATTAGGTAATAGACGGATGTGCTGACACGTGTGTGAAGAAATGCGTTCATCTAAATTTATTTAAAACATAACCGCAAGGTTGTTTAACACCGCAACAACGTTAAACGATTAAATCTGTAAGATTGGAGTTGTAATGCATAAAATAAGAAATCTGGGTTACTTTGCGTAATTGCTAACCCAATTACTTAGAAATATTTAAAATACATTACATTTTAAATTCCTTCATATATGCTTTTAATAGGAAATAATTGGTATAGCAAAAGTTTGTTGTAGCAGATTCATCCAACAGTGACCTATTTGCACGGATACGTTATGTATCATCAACAATGGTGTATGCTATTATACATCCCATTTTCCTGAGTGGTTAATGCAGAAAGGGTATTATAACTGTAATAGTGAAACCACACGTAGTACTTTAATTTTAGTTTAGGATGTATCTAGTCTTTATTGCTGGATATTGCGAATGCATGTGTACACAATAGCATTCCGCAACTTCCTGCTTCCTACAATTACCCAGGAAGAAGATGAAGCTAGAAATATGTATTATTTGTACTTTAACATTTGTAACAAAGTTTAGTAAAACTCTATTTACAAAACATTCACTCGTTATCGTAACTTGAAGGACACATGTATCGGAATTTTGTTATGTTTACAATTTCATTAAGTTAATTCAACGCATTTCCTTGTTTCATTTGCATTTGAAATTTGACATTAATTCATCGACAACCCCACATGCTAATTGGATATTTTTTCTGTTTCGCAAAAATACACAAACGTGCCTTGAATAGAACGTTTTTTTCCTCATTGATAGGTTGAAACTGAAACCCACAGAAACAATCGATATCCTCATGATTGATCACGTATTTAACAAAGTTTCAGAACACCAATACATTTTGTTAACACCTTCTCGTTAATTTATTTGATAGAAAATACCATTAAAAATTATTAGAACATCCGAATCGATATCTAACATAAATCAGTGTCAATTTACTCGAAAAGTTTACCGGACAGTAATTAATCCACCCATCTGGACCATGAATTACGAACATTAGGTCCTCAAATTAGTTTTAGTAACTTATACTAGCCGAAGAGAAATCTGCGCGGTCTGCCTAACCGATTTCGAGGGCGCACGGTAAAATCAATTATCGTTGAACAAACTGCCAGAGACTGTCCACACCCTCAGAACGTGTCGATTGGAAATGTCTGGGAAAATTTGCATCCGCAATTATTGGAGATGTAGTTTCGACACAGAAGCTGCAAAGTCGAGAGCACACTAATTGCCTATTAATGGTTGCTCCGCGAGAGGGTCGGCACGTGTTATTGATACGAACACGACAATTCAACGTGCACATTCAGGATCTTTACTAGCTTGAGTTAACCTTTGCATAGAAATGAGTGCTTTAAATCGGTTTTGTGAATACACTGAGTTTGCAAATAATTGCTCAATGTAGTGATTAAAATTCGTTTTAATAGGTATAAACACCGAGTTGAGGAAAAAATCATAAACATCGAGTAATTTTATTGTGTTTGTTTTCAACTTGCTTTTTTTTTAAACACAGTCGATTAAAACTCCTAGCGGACGCTATAAAGCAAAAAGCAATTTTCGAACTTTATATTGAGTTATAACCGTAACTGGAATATGAAGGACTAATACGTCGAGTTTGTGAACAATAACACTTTTTAGTAATAAAGAAGTTTATATTTTTATAGGAATTGGAGAAATTAACGTGAAAATTTTATTAATCGTTCAACACACTCACTATAAATCCAATGCTATTAAACGAATAACTTACTGAAAAGCGAAAAACGAACGATTTACCTCGCCCAAAAATTGGTTCTATCGAAACTTTTAATTAAAATTTTAAAGCGTATCATTTCAATCATAAAATTTTATAGATCTTTGCAAATAGAAACTCTAAATTTTATCATCACGTTGAAAAAATTTGTTTTAATTTTCTACAGGAAATTTACGTTTATCGTTGGATCTTGTATAAACAAAAATGGGTTATAAATTTTAAAACTTGATCATTAGTGGAAGTTAAAGTCGTTAAAAGTGAAAAATTCAATTACGTTACGATTTTTATAGGTCACGTATCTATCTCGAAAGTATGGTCATCTTAAAACGTACCTTCCAAGATACTCTCGTAAAGCGAGTCTCCTTGTGCACAACGTTAAAGATCGTATTTCCTTGGGAAAAGAACGCCCTTAAAATAGCGAGGTCTACCAGAGAGGACATTTATATTATGGGAAGACACTTGAATGGGTACCTGTTATTACGCTATTTACCCCGTTTCCGTTGTGTATGAATAATTAATGCTTTTGTTATTTTTATCACGTCAACAGGAAGATTGCAAAATTTTAGAATAAAAGTAATTTTATACGTTTTAGAATAATGTAAAGAAGTAAAGTAAGGATATAATTAAGAACACGCAACCTTGGCATCAAATCAACCTAAGAGGATGCTCAACCTATTCAATTATCTGAACATCTAAATACACGTGTATTAGTTCTAAACTAACTAATGTATAAATAATTACTAGTTTAAAGATGTCCTAGGTCGATTAAGATTTTCAAGGAGGTACGGATGTTGATATGTAAGATATTTTTGAATTGCTTGAAATGATTTCAGTGAAGACGTAGAATTCTAGAATAGCTTTACTCATTTAAAGCCATTGCAATATTTCTATAGCGTGAGTGATTTCAATTGGCGGATATTTTAAAGGACTTTCAACTGGTAGTATATAGTAAAGTATATTAAAATATTTCCAGGTAGGTACCTATACCTGGAAATGTACCATGTATTGGACATTAAATTTAAATCTCCTGATTAATTCTATTTATCTTCTCAGCAACAACCATAGCAATGTGATAACTGGAATTGAATATTTCAATGCCGGGAATGATATTATATGAATAAAACGCAGGTAAGTCCACAAGTAACAGAAACCGAAAAAAGTAAAGGTATAATGAGATCGAACGTTACAAGGGGGAAAATAAAGTTGTTAAAGTAGAAATAGTTTTGAATCTAAGTATATTGTACTTCACTTCCTTGAGTATCGAATAACGACCATTAAATCTGCATTGAGTATAACCTTTACTTGGGTCACCATTAAAACTTTTTTTCCAAAACTTTTAGTCATCACTATTACATGTTTGATCATCCATTGTATGTGTCTTCAAGTCTTACATACGTTTTAAACTGACAGCGTATTAATTGACCGGTATGAACAGTGCGGTCAATAGTTCAGTTGATATTGAATATTTTAGCTAACTTGTTGCATTATTACAATTATTATCGTTTAATTGTAATCAGAAATTCGGGAGTGCAGCAAGAGGTATGGCTTGTGGCAGTCACAGTGCACTATTAATAAAAAAAATAAGAAAATAAATGTACCAAAATGCGTACTGAAAATGAAAAAAGTTTACTGAATTGAGAGAGAAATGTACAATTGTACCGACTACAAAATTTTGTACTGCATTGCTACTTTCACGTACTTTATCCATGAAATCGTACTGAATTCAGTACAATTGTACCGAAACGGCAACACTGATCACCATATTTTATATTTGTATTGAAATATTTATTGGCAATACGAGAGAAATGAAAAGAAACATTAGAACTATATCGAGGAACTTTCTGAGAAAAATTTTATTAACTTGTTTATCATCTCTCTCAAATCTTAACACCCATATCAATAACAAATTCGTTTGTCTCGAATACGCTGCACTACATACCCATATTGTAAACTTGTAGTAGATGTATGAAAATCTACTTATTTGTTTCGAGATTTTTGTGGAAAAGTATTCTGTATGAATACTTAATTACAAAAAGGATATTGGAAATTATCGCCATGGCCGACAATAATTTTATCAAATATAACTTTACTTCATATTTTTTGATTTATCGTTCCTTTAAACTACTTGGAATTCAATATTTGTTCGGAACAAGGTTTCGCTGGAGTTCTAAAAGTTAAAAATTCAACCGAATTCAAGAAAAAGTCTTTCAAACGATTTGATTTAATATCCCTATTAAATTTCAATGCAATTTCATTTTATCCTCAATTTTACTTTACCTCTTAAAGACTGCTGGTCACAAAATCCAAAGTTTAGTAAAAACTTATCTATAAGAATTTTTTTACTTAATTATTTCGTCTTTTAGAAGCAATCATTCATTTTTCCTTTACGATTCTGAATTTTTCATACAATAAAAGGGTTCTCTTGAAAGTCTACTTGGAAATAGTAGGACTTACAAAGACGATTACTATTCAATTTGAGATGATATGTAGGGTGGTCGAATTTTCCGTGCTCGATTACGACTGTCGATACCTTTCAAAACTCAATGGAAATTCGTGTAGAGCCTAAAGAACGAATCCCTATTGAGTGGTAACCTTCTCTCACCGTTGATTACTCCCATTCAGGTACAGGGAGATGAGTTTTTGAAAAGCCGAAGCGCAGAATCCACGGGACCAATGCGAACTGACTAGATCTCATCGCCTGAATAAAACAGTTACCGCGCAGATTCCACCCTTAACGGTCCGGTTTCGACCCCTACTCACCGGAAAATTGCGATCGCGTGCCGCTACAACTCAATCCGCCAATTAAATGAACCGCTAAAAACTTTTGATGTTGTTTAATTAATACAACTCGTTTTAGGGTATTTTCCGGAGTAGAGACAACTCTGTTCAGGAGTTTTGCTAGTTTACAACTTAGTTATACAAAGTTTTCAGTCTATTAAAGTCATTGGGATGGGCCTGAATAAGTGGGTTGTTAGTTGACAATGTATACTTTGTCAACTTTAGTTATGGAGGAGCTTGAATAAAGGTAAGTAATCTTTTCATGTATTATCATTACCAACAACTTTATATTAATTAATTAATTATTACATCAAATGCCAGCTTCTTTGATGTTTCAAAATCTCATCTTGTAATAAAGTTTTAAAGGATTTTTTGGCGGATGCGCCGGTAATATTATTATTTTTAAATTATTTCTTCTAAGTAGTTATTTTTCTCATTTTCGTTTTATGTTAAAGTATTTAATAAAGGCTAAACCTAAAAAATAAAAAAATATAAGTATTTCAAAATCGATTTTTTATGAAGTTTAAAAATGGTTTTAAAACTTTTAAATAACTTCTCGTACAACTTTTAATTTTCTTTCTTTGTCTAGTACTTTTGGCTAAGGTGATTGATGACGACAACAGAAAGAACACTTAGATTTATTACTTCAACTTGGCACTAAGGAAATTTAATATCCTTGTAATGTCATCATTTATCTATGTATTTTCAAATGCAATTATTCATCACTTATATCATGATTGATTAAAAACTTGAATGAATAATACTCATTTAAAAATGTCCACCATTTTCTTCTCTTCTTCAAATCATAATATTTCCAATCAAATTTATTACGGGGTTCTGAATAAGAGCCCCCTAAATTGGCTTTCTCTGCAGAATAGAAGCGAATCCATCCAATAAAAGAAGCAATAAATACGAATGCCCTATGTACAGATAAATTACATTTTCTCGTTCAATAAACAAATTGCAAGAGAGTCAATTTTGGTCGAAATATTTATAGAAAAAGAAGTTAAGTGATCTTGAAACAGAAAATTGTTGTTATAAATCTTTTTTATCTTTGTTTTGGTAGACGATCCGGATACATTTGATGTATTTTACCATACATATTTATGAAGTCGTTCAAATAAAGTTTCAAACCACGTTTCTAAAGCTGCCATTACACTCAAACGCATTCTTAGAACATTTCCTGCCAATGGGGAGTGTTAACGTCTCACGAGATTCTTATATGTTTCTGGCGGAACTGCGAACACGTTGAAGCCATATTTCATATGAAACCTGAGGTTACTTTCGCTTTATATATTATTCGCTTAGCGGTTCCACATTCCTCCATTGACCCATGGTGGTATCCGAACACCCTTATGTATTGTGTGTTACATTCTTGGGAAACTGGGATCGGTTCCTTTGTGAATTAATGAGGCGACAATCTATTATTATCGAGGGCTTTACAAAATACTTATTTAAGGCATGTGGTAAATTGGATTGAAGTAGGGGTATTACAAGTTAAAGTTACCCTCTAATTAACTTAAAGGAAGTGGTAAGAGAATTCGAGAACGTGAAGGTAGCTACATCGAGTCGTACATTATCCTAATTAAAATTAATTTACTCTAAAAACTACTTCGTATGTAGATTTAAAGTGCGAGGAAGTCGTAAACATTCGTAAACACTTTATTTGTTGATTACAAATAAATTTATTTAAATAAACGGTAATATCGATCACCATATATTTTATTAATATAATTACAACAGATTGATTGGTATTGCCTGCAATAACTTTTTGAAACAGGCTATCCTGAGCAATTGTGATAAAAGGGGAGAAAGAACGAAAGACAGTCTTATAGCAACTGAAGGTAACAAATTCGAGAGAGAAAGTCTTTTAAAAACGATACTCTGTCTTTATGTCAGCTCTTTTAGAATGGCGGAACAAGTTTAAAATGTTGAGGGAGATTCAAGGGCGATGCCCTAGAAAGAAAAACTTCCTCAATCACCAGACTCGAACGAAATGGCCATCCCAAAGTTTTATCAGCCCTCTTCGACTCAACTAATTTTAACCCTAAAATAAACGCAAAGTTTTTTTAGGAAATTTTCATTGACAAAAAGTTTCGAACTAACTAGTGAGCAACAGCTCCGTTTATCGCACTATTATGTTTTATTGCGCCAACATCCTTAATATATGTATTTTATGCTTCGTTGCTCGGCTTGTTTTCATTCAAATACTTCGGCAGGTCAACGCCAGTTTGTTTGAGCTTGGAATATGTAAACATCCTGAGTGGAAAGCGGAGTCGGTATCACGTTTTAGTCGGATATATTTCCTAGTTTAAAGTTACGTTGAACTCGGTTGACTTCCTCGAAAACATGAACGAGCAGAATTGATGCGAAATAGAACACAACCTCGAAATTATTTATAAAATTATAGGTGTTTTATAGTTGATGAGGTACAGGAACTTTCATTATTAAATCTTAATTTTAGTGGCAGTTAAAGATGTTTATGACCGAGTTGTAAACGAGAGTTTTAGGTTACTGAAGTTAATTCTGTTAGGTTACATTTCAATTACATAAATGGTATCAATAATGATAAAAATTCAACTTTAAACTCAAAATTTAAATTAGTTCGTGTTACTGTACTGCTAGGAGTTTTCTAAATAGGACAATATCAAGCGTCGTTGTGCGACGGACATTGGCCAAATAATGAGGCCAATTTCAATGGAGCTGGTACATTTCCTGGTCCTTCAGGATCAAGTTAATAGACAAATTTAAAGTCTATAATCCGTGATTGTCTGATTACAGAAATGTACATAGTAGGCATCCTTATTAAGATAAACCGATGACATAACAAAGTTATAAGTACCGTATAATTGATGTTTAATTCGGAAATTTCGTTTTTATATAAACCATGTTTTGTCGGCACATAAATGCCAACAAGCTAGAAGTTAGGCATGCAACAGAAAAACCATTGAAATTATCGTATAAAACATCAGAAAGAAAGTAAGAGAGTATGTCGTTGCCATTCCCGCTTGAGATATAAAAATCATTGAGAGTAATCGCTGCAACGATTTACTTTTATACTTGTAGATAAAAGGTAAAACTTTAGTCTACTTACTACATTTCAAGTAGTTCAGGTAGAAAATGGGTAAAGTAATGTAACGTTTCAGAAAGAATGTGGAAAAGTAGGATAACGTGACAAAATGTTTAGAAAGGAGAATGTGGCCATGATGAGAATAAACTGGGATTGTTCAATTCAAAAAAATTGAAAATAGTCTATAACAACAATTACAATGATAATAACTCAATCAGCAACAACAATAATCCAGCAAAGTCAATTTGCGACTGAAAACCACGTATAAACCAGTTGATACTATAGTCCACAACACACAAAAAGGAATAGGGATTTACCGGGATTTTATTAACAGGCTTTTAAAGTACCATTTACCGCGGTAAACTATAGGTTATGAAGCCGTGTACCCCAAAATAATCCAAAACGGCATTATGCGGGAAAGTGTATTATTAACGTATAAAAAGTATCAATAGGTTTTGAAATAAAACCTAACATAAACCTGATAATAACACACTAAATTAAGTCAGTAAGAATGTTCCCTTTATTAAGCTTTTAAAAATATGGTAGATGAGAAATCATTATCAAGGGTGTAGGTAAAACAAAAGAAAATGAACTAAAAGTTCTTCAGAAATAGATAAGTAAAGGTATGAAGGATCTATCAACTTATTATAGTTTCGCAATTTTACAACATCCACATTCAAAAGAGGATAGGCTTGAATGATACTAGAAAATAGGATTCTCTAAAACATTCATTCTAAGGGTGTGTATAATGCGGCAATCATGTAGAATGCTGCGCAACATTCTTTGGTATGTTGTGCTCTGCAGAATTTTGTCTTACGAACGTCGCATGTTGCTGCCGCGCATGTTTATCAAATTTTCTTCAAATTTCAAATTTGGACTCTCTCCATTTTTTCCATCTTGCTGTTTTCGTCGATGAGACGTGCATGGAGCGTATGCAGATGATAATGGTCTTCCTCCCTTCCAAACGTTAACTTCTTTTCTAAATTTGATGAGTCCATTAGCTATTTTTGTTTAAAAATCCCCAAGAAACTTAACCTTTCTTACATTTTTCTTTACTTTAACCGTGGTTTAATAATGGTTATTCCACCTTCAGATATGTTGCCATTACCAATGTCTTATACAAGTTCTTATATTGCTGATATTTCTCTTCGGGTTGTAGACTCTTTTCTTCTGTTATTGTTAGTTGTACATATATGTTACCTGCTGGTATGTTAACCAACCTTTTTGGTAAAAATTTTCCATCTAGGGACATGTGTTAAACTTTTGTAATATCTTTCAAACGTGGCGTTATCACTATTATGTCTGCGTGGTCATCATGGTCTTGCGCTATGTTACGTAATTCAGAATTATTTTACAGCATTATCCTTCTTTCAATATCATTCCATTACGGTTGCTCAGAAGACCGTCAGTAATGTTCTTCACCAACGAACGAATTTAAAACATAACTTGCTTCTTGTACTGAATAATGAGTTCATGTTCTTCTTGATTCATAAACTTTGCATTTTTATAAGCAATTATTTCTTCTAATATTTAAATAATTTACTTCTCTATGCTTTTAGTTTTCTCTTTTTTCCTCTTCCTATGGCGGATTTGTTTGAATACATTGTTTGAATGAATACAATCTTTCATATTTTTGACCATATTAATTCTTCGCCAAAATAAAGGACGCCTTTATAATAGAACTTCCCCATCTCATGTAAATAGCAAAAAAAAATTGTAACCACCGAGTGCGCGGTTACTTTACGGAAAAAGGTGCCGACCGTAAACTGGCCAGCTACTACGCGCGTTCACTTGTATAATTAAATAACTTCCTGGCATAAAAATGTAATTGAACTTTATCATGTTATTAAAAATATGTAATTTAAAACTTTTTAACTTCATAACAAAATTATTTTCAGTATACCGATTTAATTAAATAGTACTTCGCAGTGAAATGGCCACTACGAAGTACCATCTACAATAATTAAATAATACCTTGTGAAGATTCGTCGAAAAGTTGCTGTTTGCTTATGCAATAAGAATATTTGCGGTAACTTCTTTTAAATAAAGTTATATTAAACACATTTCTACGTTGATATATCCAGATTCATATCTAAGCACTGTCCAAAAAGTTATTATTATTCAATACTTAACATTATCCATCAATAATGTTAGTATAAAAAGAGTTACAGTAATTA